ACTGAAGGAAGACGCTTGTAAAACTAACGATAAGCGTCATGTAATTTGTGATACGAGCGTTTACGGTCCTAGGTGTTTTTGTGTGTGCATGCGTGTGTGTGTGCATGCGCGTAAACAAGCTCACATTATGAGGCAGCAAATTGATTTATTGTAGTTTATTTTATATATATGCAAAAAGGTGCCCTCCACCCGAAAATAGGCTCAGGGCGGTGACCTATTTGGTCAATAGACTTGAAAAAAACAATTTTTTATTGCTCAATTCTTTTCGCTGCCAAAAGATACATCATCTATTAGCTATGCGAATGCATACAGACAACACTGTTATTCGATATGGCTCTAAATCGGCTAACTGACAAATTTATTGATTAGCATGCTAAAATTTAATTAACTCTCGTCATCGTGCTGTATGGCCATGAATTATTCACTTGCCAGCACTGGAAAAAACAAATTACAAGTTTATTAATCAATACACATTTTAGGTTACTAAATTACTTAATTAGCAACTATTTAGTTTGCATTGTTCCGCCGCTTGTGGCATTATATATGTATATTGAAAAAAAAATTTTAATGCAATAAATTTGTGTATTATTTTAGAAGACCAATTTAATGTCGAGCTGACAATAATTTGTGGTGTTTCAATTGTGCGGCAAGCACTTTTGGCCATCCGAGGGTGTCAATGTTGGGCACGATTTTTTATTCCCATTGTATTTTTGGCATGAATTGCTCAAGCGCAGTTTCTAACGCCTAACGAAAGGTTCGCTAAATAAACATTTCGGTTTTATACCCTGAACCCATTGAAAATCGGCTAAAAAGGTATAATGTATTTGTGAAAATGTATGTTACAGGCTGAAGGAAGCATCTCAGATCCCATTAAGTATATATGCTCTAAAAGTCAACATCTAAATCCTGTTATTTTTTAACAAATCTCTTGGGTTTTTGGAGCTAGTTCACCAAACTTGACATGTAGCTTCTGAAATAGCTATCGCCACCCTCCCGTCAACCTCAATTTTAACGCGTTTGTCGTTTTGATAATTTAGTTATATTCCATAGCACAATAAGATATAATGTTGCAAACTTCGTCCAGATTGGTTAAGAAACACAGCAGTTATTAAAGAATGCGTGTGCTTATATTGACACTTGTTTCTGGCAGCGCAAATTGTAAGAATTTTTGCATATCTGTACGGACACACCCACAGTGAAGCACGTCAATATTGAATTCTAACAACAGCATTGCAATTGCGATTGTATTGTATTTTGTGCTGTGTGCATGTGGTGCTCTCTTTATTCGTTCTATTCCGTTAAGAATGCATTGCTGGTGTGGCTGTTGAGTCGAGGCGGTGGCAATTGGTGTGGTCTCTTATGAGTCCGAGTTATATGAGGGGAGTTATGAGGGGAATATTTTTATACCCTGAACCCATTACAAAAAGGGGAAAAGGGTAATTGTATTTGTGCAAAATGCAAATGTATGTAACTGGCAGAAGGAAGCATCTCCGACCTCATAAAGTACATATATTCTTGATCAGCATCAATAGCCTAGTCGATCTAGCCATGTCCGTCCGTCCGTCCGTCCGTATGTATGAACGCAAGCATCTCAGAACCTATAAGAGCTAGAGAAATTTTAGATGTAGGTGCTCCTAGTGCCTGCGCAGATCGAGTTTGTTTCCGATAATCGATATCTTACTCCGTTTCCAAGCAATCGATAAAAATCGATATCGATATCCTGTTTTTTGGGCAAATTGGGTAAATAATAAGAGTCACCAAACGTGATATGTTGCTTCTAGAATATTATATAAATGTCAAGTATCGTTCATTTAATATCTATCGCCACCTTCCCGATACCAACCCAGAGCTATAAATTAAGTTAATAACCCAACTATTATTGCCAACCAATTTAAGCCACAATTAAAATGCAATTGACTTTTTGAGAATACACAAATATTCTATGGTACAATAAGATATACTGTAGAAATTTTCGTAAAGATCGGTTAAGAAAAAACCATAGTTATATGTAAATGCGCAATTGGATGGGGCAGCTAGCGAAGACATCAATGCAACAACTGCATTTGGTGTTGGAATAAGAGGGTTCAGGGTATTCGCTAGTCGGAAGCTACCGACTAAAACCTCTTACTTGTTTGTTTTTTTTTTTTTGCTGGTGTGGCTGTTGAGTAGAGTCGACAACAAGTAATGCGGTCAGTTGCGCGTTCGAACCCTGCCAAGGGAATTTTTTTTTTTAAATTTAGTTGGTGTTGGAATAAGATAGTTCAGGGTATTCCCTAGTCGGGAGCTCCCGACTAGAACCTCTTTCTTGTTTGTTTTTATTTAAAAAAAATTTATTTTTATTGCTGCTAAAACAAACGAGCTCGTAGCGCGAGCTGCAGTTGGTTACTATTAATTTAATATATAAGTCTAGTCAGCCAAGACAATAATAAAAGTAAGAGAACATAAGAGAAACTATTATATTAAATAGTGTGACAAAACGATATACATATGGTATCTCCGACTGCGTAAAATATTTTCGTCATCTTAGTATTTTGTTAAATAACGATCGAAAAATACTTCTATTTAATTATTGGCGTAAGTGTAAGCTGTATATTTTGATGCTGTTACTTTTTAGTTTATTACATAATGACATTTTAGTTTTTTATTTTACCATTCTTATGTCTTAATCAGTTGGATTGACACTCTTTTTGTCGATCATAGGTTATATATAAGTGAATGAATAAATTCGACGGGTCGCTCATCTCCATAAAATGCACTTTCTACAGAGAAACAACATTTGCAATAAATTAAATTGTATATGAATATAATTTTTTCATCTATAACCTAATCTTATATCGCAATGCTTTTTTAAAAAGATCAGCTTTCAGTTCATTAGCTCTGCTTAATCTGGATATTTCAATTGAAACTAGGCTCAGCTTCGGCTGCAGTAGTTGGAAAAATTGGTCGCCTGCCAAAATGGCTGTGCTGTTGTAGCAAATCTAACTGGATGTCTGAAACACTGTGATCCTTTCGGCTAGGCCCGCATCCAGGCCTCCCATACACACACACACACACACATACATATGTAATGACGGTGTATGTATGCGTGTATATTTATGTATTTGTGGGTCACAGCCTGCATCGTCCGAGTGGACAGTGACGGAGAACGACCCTGGGTCTGGGGCTCAGTTCCATTGGGACATATTTTATATTTAATGCAAGACATTTGTCATGCGGTTGGCGCATTTATTCAAAGTATTTGCTGCAATTTTAATGCCAAAATGAAAGCGCAATTTCAAATACCAAATATACACACATACATATGTGTATCTGTATATATACACATATGTATATATGTGCGAACATTGGACACCAAATGCAGCGAGTCACATTTTATGTGCCCTGCGCCTGGCTAACTATTTAAAAATGAATTTATGCGAACATCTGTATGTGTTTCATTTTGAAACGTTCTATTTGTAAATGTGTTGGAAGCAGTACGCACAATATGCTGAGAGCTGTCTGATATATATACATGCATATGTATATATATCTCAGGGAGATATATGTAGATCTAATATGTATTTGTAACATTATGCAGAAAAAAACACACACACCCATACGAAACATGAAATACAATTATAACTAAAATTTTGTTAAAATTTCTTTTGTTTTTTTTTTTTTTATCTTTATAGAGTTTGGAATTTGGCAGCTGTGTGAGACAAATTGAATCAATTTTTGCAAATATACAGGACATGGAATAAACAAATGAAACTCTTCAAAGACAACGCTACCGAAGGGCATCAATAAATAAATGTGCATATACTTGAAAATAATTTTTTCAGTATAAGAAAAACAAAAAGCGAATCAGAAAAAAACAAAAAAAAAAAAAAAAAACAAAAAGGAAACACACACATACAAGCAATCAAATTCTATTTTCAAATTGAATTTTAAATGCACTCAAACACGAGGCAGTAAAGGCGCTTGACTGCTTGGACGAGCGGAAGAGTGGGGCAAAAGAGTGCGGGCTGAAAGGACATAACGACAATATTTGCCATCAAAATCGAAATCGAAGTAGTGACAAGGCAGCTACTTGTTAGCCAAACAAAGTAATCAAAACTTGCCGAGCAGCAGCAAAGCAGCAGGATCCGGGCAATGCGAATGCCGTAAACAAGTTCTGGAAATATACGAAAAAAAAAATAATAAAATAAACGGAAACGCAGCTTTCGATAGCCAACATCAAACAAACATTGCCGGAAAAAGGGCCAAACAACAGAGGCACAGAAAACACACACACACACAGAGAGAGAGAGAGAGAGAGGGAAAGAGAGAGGGAAAGCGAGAGAGTGAGACAGTGAGGCATATATATAAAACAATTGTGGCCCGAGTAACAATCATAGCAACAATCAATCAGAGTCCGAATCGTATATAGATTTCGTACCTGCATCTAAAACCAAAGCCGAAACAATACTAACAGAAATTCCAGTGGCGTTGACAAGTTAAATAGTCAAGGTCAACGGCCTTCCGCCATTCGGAGATGCCACAAATGTGGGCAACCAGCCGTTGCTTACAAACACCGTGCCGTGCCGCAGACAGAGGCTGAAAGACGAGCCGCACTCACCAATACACGGCCAACGTCAAGTCTTGATTTCCGGCCAAGCAACAACCCTCCCTCCCTCTCCCCGCATACACACACACACAAGTGCACAACCCCTTGCCGCAAAGAACATTTTTTGATAAATGGCAGCTAGAGTAAAAAAATTTGTGGCAAGCCAAAAGTAAAAGTTTTCGCTTGCTTGCAAAATTGAAAGGCAAGCAAAAGGTGGCGCAGATAAGGGCCAGCAACAATAAAAACAGCAACAACAATAACAACCGTCCCATCAGGAACAGAAGTGGCATTAGCAAGCGTCAGCCTCGACTTTGATAACAACAGCAACAGCCACAAAAAAAAGAAAACCAAAAAAAAAAAAAAAACACTCATAAACAAGAGGCAAAAAAGTAAGAAAATAAAAAACAATTGCCGTTGAAAATTGTTTTCGTTGTCGTTTCGTTCGTCACCCTGTCTTCGACTCCGACTCCGACACCCTGAGCCCCGTCCGTGGTTTGGTTCTGGTGCTGGTTATTGATTCACTGTGGCACAGCACCCGCCGCCCGCCGCCCGCCTACCGCCACCACCGTTACCGCCTGATCGATGTGCCATATGTCTGCCTAACGGACGCTGCCACTTTGCCACTTGGCCGCATGCCACAGGTTGATGTTGAGGTTGGCGCTTGAGTTTGAGTGCAACGAGCTTTGCGTTTGAGAGTTTGAGTAATTGTGACGTCACAACGTGATAGACACTGATAGCGACTGACGAATGCCAATCGAACGGGCTGTTTGAATAAATGAATACCCTCAATTGGCTTTTAACTGCAAACAGAGCAGACAACGCAGCTGCCCAAGTTGGCAGCAGCAGCAGCAGCCGGAGAGCCTTTCCCAAATTGATACACTCAACTAACCAAATGCGTCTGATTGTGGCCATTACGAGAATGGGCGCCCAACGGACGCACACATCAGGCACAGCCTGTGCCGTCGCCATCACGTGGTGGCTGGCCTATGTCCTGGGATTTCTAATATTGCTGCCAGGTGAGTGAAAGAAATGAAATAAAATAATAATAATAATAATCGACTAAGACCAGATATGAACAGCTGCAAGGGATTACTGATTGGTTGATGCCCATATCTTTACAAAACTAATTACCAAACACGCAGCTATTAAACTAAGTAGCCGCTCCTAAAGTCTTCTTCAGGCTAATTGGCAACTGTTTGAGCTGTTATTTGAGCTAATTGTTGGTTTGTTATTCATTTAACGTTTATCAGATTACTATTATTCATTATTCTCTGTTATATTCGTAAAAAATATGTAACTCCTGTTAGATCTGGGCTTCATCATTTTCTATAAGAAAAGTTTCTGAGTTATTCTTTAAAAATTGGTCTGAATATGGATACAACTTGAGATTGATTTTGTTATAAATTCTCTACTCAGAATTTCTATAAAAACAATGGTTAGATATATTTTGTTTTCAGGGCTGGTTCAACTACAAAAATTTCTAATTTTACCAAAATAGTTTGCGTTGGGCTTGAGATAGATTAATTGATTGATCTGATTTCTTTAAAAGTTCATAGTTAGACATAAACCAGTTAAGACTCTTGAATGTATAGTTATTTTTTGCAGTTCATTAAACCCCATACACTGCAGTTCATTTGTAATATTTATTTCGATTCGATGGTAATTGACTGTTCAATTACTTAAGAATTTAATTGTATTGAATCGCCAAAAAATGGCGACTGCCATTCAACTCAACTGCTTAAATATAGAGGCAATAATTGAACTTTAATCAATGCTAATTACACTTTTCAATTACCAATTAATTTGAATTTTATTAGCTTTTAAGGCCGCATACATATATATACATATATATGTATGTGCCACATAGATATTCGGCTAATCGCTTGGGGTTTTCTTATTTGTTTTTAGCCAAGTAGATGCTGTTTCTGGCCATTTGGGCAGCAGCAAAAAAGCTAGTAAAATGCGGCGTGGCCCTGACGAATGTTTATTACGTATACGCAGCGTGGCAACAAATTAAACATGACTCGCTTTGCGTTAATGCTGGGGGCGATGCTCGATGCCACTCGTCGCACTGTGGGAGGCAACACGCATAGTTATAGTTGCTGCTTTTGTTGTTGCTGTTGTTTTTGTTGCTGCTGTCATTGCTCTGACTGTGACTGTGACGCGCTGCCGGATGCTGATGGCTGATGGCTGATGTGAACGTAAATGTGTATGTGAGTCTGCTGATTCTGACGACTGGCAATTTGTTTATTTGATTGCATTTTCTGCACTTGTTGGGCGCAGGGGCTGGCTAGCGCTGGGTTGAGGCAGCAGCAACTGTTTGCCCGACTGCGCGCACAAATCAAAGTCAACTGCGGTAAGTGGAACGACAAATAAAGTGCACCCGTTTTATGGAAGCAACGAGTTGCTGCCATCGCTTTTGCTGTTCCTGCTTCAGCTGCTGCTGCTGTTGCGGCTCCTGCTGCAAGTAGCCCGTGGCCCAATACAATTGGAAATCGCTCAATGCTGACTGGCAAGCAAATTTTTGGATCCTTTACATACGAAACGAAGGACAATTAGATTGATGAACGTCGATCCGAGACACGTTGATTGCGGTGTCAGCAAGAATGTGAAACTCTTGCTACCAAAAAGATTCGGCCATAATGATAAGATTGATGAGCTAGTACTTGAGAAGATAGCATATACTTTATCTAAAGGATGCTTCAAATTTATGATTCCGATGATAGATGACAGCAGCTGCTAGAGATAAATGTTAGATACTTTAGCCAAATGATATAGGAACTATGAGTAGTTGGCTGCTGCTTAAAACTGTTATTGTTATTGCCAATGTTTGGGGGACATTTGCATAAGCTTGACCCCGTGCTTCATCAAAATACCGCATTCTGCAGCAGCAGCAGCAGAAGCAGCAGCATCTGGACATTTCTTTCCTCGCTTTGCTCAGTGGCATCATTCCGAATTGCCGGCTTTTGTTCGTCGCATTTTAGTTATGCATAAAACAACTTCTGTGGCACGTTTCAAATCATTTTGCTTGAATGTTGTCACCGTCCCGCTTCACGCCAACCCCATCAGCTGCCAAAAAATCCCCTGAATTTTCGCTCAAAGCTACTTGAAAATAATTCTCGTTATTGTTGTTCTTGTTGTGGCCTTAAGTATTTCTGCATATTTTCTGTGTGTTTCTTTCAGTTTTATGAATTTTTGCGACGCTTACACACACACACACACACACACATACAAACATGCTTGTATATGTTATATGAATTCCAGTCGGTTTTTCTTGTTTCTTTTGTCAACCCGGTTTTATCTTTACCCATGCACAGGTGCATTTTTTGCGAGCTTACACACAGGTCCCCAACCAGCCAGACATTCACATCCACATCCACATTTAAAGCCGCATCCACATTCGGGGGCCAGGTGCAAAATGCTGACCGGCTTCAATATGCATGCTAATTTTGGGCTCCCACTGACGCGTACAAAAATCCCGATTCCAGTCGCAGTCCCTCCTGTGCACACATACCCATTCGAATCCCTTAGCCCATTGTCCATTTCCACTGGTTGCCTCAATTTGATTTTAGGCATAAATATTCATGAATTGCTGTCTATGCGATTGCGATATGTCCTGCCATGCCGTGCCGTACCTTGTCGTTCCACGCCGCGCCGCGCCGTGTCCTGGCGACTGTAACTGGAATGTATGCCGGTCTTTTTGCTGATAAAACAATGCAACAAATTTTAACAATAACCATTTTCATAGCTCACAAAACTGCAATTCATGCATTGTTTGCCATCGAAGTGCCAACTTGTTCTATTGGAGTTTATGCATATGAATTGATATGTAAAATGAGATCTAAAACCCATGGGAACATTGCAGTCGGATGCAAGTGACTGCCTAATACTCTGTCTGATATCAATTTGCCATGCATCCAGTGAACGTTGACCAAATAGTTTTGGTCAATCTTATGTTGTTCGCTTCTGTGGCAGACATAGACTTGTCCGATTTGTCAGACTTGTCTCGCCTTAAAAAGAGTGCATTTGCCAACCAATAAACTCTTTTCAGTCTGTGAGCGAGCATAGTAACTAATTAAATAATAATAATAATAATAGCTAATGCTTAGGCTTTGATAAGCTAACAAGCGTATATGTTAAATTATAGATAGACTTGTATTTGCCATACATACATATAATGTGTTTACATATATTTGTATTTGCTAGACATATATAGACATATGCGCAGATATCTAGTTAACGCTTTGTCGACTCCAAGGCGTCGCGCACGATCAACTGCAGCTCCTTGCGCACCTCCTCTGGGACCAAAGCGCGTGCCTTGGGCACTATCTCGGCGTGGATCTCTTCATAGGTAACATTTTTGGCACCTCGCTTGATTAGAATGTTGCGTATCATCTTTCGAATTGAATCATACCAGCCGCATTCCTGCAGACGCAGCTGCAGCAGTTCCCTTAAAGCGTTCGGATTGTTCGCGTTGACTTCAGACAACTGGCCATCATCCGTTGGGGTTTGAGCGCTTGTAAATGATTCCCGGCTGTTGGCCATAATTTCAAAGAGTTTTGCTTAATTTGCTCAGTTATTTACAACTCAAATGACAAATTGAAGGTGTGACAACAGTTTCGCAGCCATCTAGATGTGAGATTTGTGTCTGGCTCTCAATATTAAATATCGGCAATTAGGGCTCGGGTCCTTAACTCTTCTTCTGAGTCTAACCTAAAAGCAAGAATCATGGAACATGGGCCAACAACATTTGATGAGCCTTTGCATCTAGCTTAAACTGAGAAGCTGAAGATATCGCATTTAGGGATTGACATAAAGACATTATATTTTATGTGTAGTATTTATATATGTGTCGCATTGCAGTTAATTCTTTTCAGCTTGATCTGTCAGATCCGGGGCTTCCCGCATGCGCATTTGCAGTTCCTTGCGCAACTCCTCGGGCACCATGGCACGTGCTTTTGGTAATACTTCAGTGGCAATATCCTCGTAGCTTACATTGTTCACACCACGTTCATCGAGAATGTTGCGTATCAGTTTTCGAATATCGTCACGCCAACCGCATTCCTGTAGACGTAGCTGTACCAGATCCCTTAAGGCGTCCACTGTTTCGGCGTCGAGAAGACTGGCCTTCTCTTTCTCAGATTCAATTCTACTGACAGTTTCCTTGCTGCTGTCCATAATTCCATAACCTTATTGAATATAATAAGATGAAAATGCTTTGCTTAAATCAATAACAAGTAAAATACGTGGGATAACAAAATTCCCGAAGCCAACGTGATGTGACGCTTGTCTAGCCAAAAATAACGGAATTATATTGCATTTGTGCAAAGATATGTAACAGGCAGAAGACAGCATCTCCGACCCCATAAATCATTTCAATTCTTATCCAGCATCAGCAGTCGGGTTGATCTGGCCATGTCCGTCTGTCTGTCCGTCCATATTCTAGGCAATCGATAATCGAAATCCTGTTTTTTGAGGAAATCTCTTATGTTTTAGGATCTAGAGTCACCAAACTTGAAATGTAGCTTCTAGAATAGTATATTTATATATCAAATATCTTTCATTTTATAGCTATCTCCACATGTTGATGATTTATGTGTGCATTTCTTTTTCACTTGTAAAAGCAACCTTAAGCTCAAGCGATAAGCTGGCTTGATAAGCCCTACACTGATGGGTTTGCTATAATTAACCTTTCACATAATTGTCAGTCGTTGTTGGCACTGTTTTCAGTGCTATCGGTTCTATTGTGCAGTGGAAACGACGCATTGCCACACCAATTAAAATCGCGATATTTGCAGTAGGAATCCACTTCATAATAAATAACCGAATTTTGCTATTCATATGCTGCGTTTGCTAGTTATTAGCTAATTTTAAAACGTTTTTCATTTGCGTCCACTGTTTAAGTTGGTTTTCAAAAAGTTGTTCTCATTAGTTGGCTATTTTGTTTATTTATTTAGTATGCAATGTAGCCTGTTTTGTTGAACATTGTTGCGATAAATTGCAGAAATTAGCTCGCATTACGTATGCGCAGTGTTGGCTGCTGCAGCCAGTGCTAATTACGCATTGTTGCTGCTACTGCTGAGAGCGAGAGTACTGCAAGTGCTTTGGTTTCGAATCAGGGCATCAAAAGAGCAACAGCAGCAGCAACAGTAGTTGATGGCAATAACTGAAAGCAGTAAGCATGTTGCATGTTGCGTGTTGCATGTCGCCCCGCCCAGCCACTTAATGCCCGCCCAATTAATGCAGCTTAGCGCCTGCTGCCGCTGACTGAAGGACCAGCAACGGCGAAGCGAAAAGCAAAATCAGGAGGCAACAGCAACAACAGGAACAGCAGCAACAACAGCAATAAGAAGCGTCGCCAACGCAACTTCATGGCGTGTTGCAATTAAGTATGACAAATTACTTGACAAGTGCCTCTGGATGCCGCTACAATGTTCAAGTTGCTCTTCATCGGCAACGCCTGGCTGCTTCGCTATTCCTGTTGCTACCGTAGTTGATGCTGTTGCTGCTGTTGCTGATGCTGTTCCTGTTGCTGCCGTCAGTGTGCCTTGGGCGCGTTGATGCGTGCTTAGTTACTGACACTTGTCGTCCATGTGTCTGCCTTGCCTGTCTTTTATGTTCACATCTGTGGTAGTTTTCTAATGTTAACCAATAATGCGATTTAATTACTACACCTGCGCCTGCCACACATTGTGGCAAATGAGTCGCGCTTAATGCGCATTTGTTATACTTTTATATCTTTCGGCTAAATGAACAGCAATAGTGCTGGCTGTTATCGAAGTGACAGCTAAGTGAAATATTACAATTAGTGAAATTGACAATGGGCAAACAACAAGGAATATCTACGACCTTAGCTGTAGATGTTGTATAATTGGTGAAATACTTGCTTATCAGTTCGAGTTGTAAAATTAGTTAAGAAGCCAAAGGCACGAAATTTTAACTGTTATACATACAAGCTTGTTGGCTCATGTTCCACACATGGCAATGGATTTTACGCAAGGAGTGAAATACGTAGGAAATGAATGTTTGTGAAGATCACTGGTAGTGTATCCGAGCGGGATTGGTAGGACAACCCGTTTGCCATCAATTTCCCACTGTTTTTATAGGGTATATTGTATTTGTGCAAAATCCAAATGTATGTAACAGGCAGAAGGAAGCATCTCCGACCCCATAAAGTATATATATTCTTGATCAGCATCAATAGCCGAGTCGATCTATCCATGTCCGTCTGTCTGTCCGTCCGTCCGTCCGTCCGTATGTATGAACGCAAGGATCTCAGAACCTATACGAGCTAGAGACTTAAAATTGTAGGTGCTCCTAGTTCCTGCGCAGATCGAGTTTGTTTCCGATAATCGATAACTTACTCCGTTTTCGAGCAATCGATAAAAAACGAAATCGATATCCTGTGTTTTTGGGCAATTTTGGTAAATAATAAGAGCTGGAGTCACCAAACTTGACATATAGCTTATAAAATAAAATACTTACTTATACTTACTTGTTTTTTTAAAACCAGCTTAGAGACAGTTATGTTACATAAATTCGGCTTTCTTACACTTATGGTTTTGGGTTGTGCATTATCAGGCGGCTGACCGGTCAGTTAATGTATATATATTCATTTATTTATTTATGTCTGCCCTCTATTTGGTGTAATGTTTAAACTCTAGTCAAATTGGAAAACTTCTTTATTATCTTAATATCTTTTTCTAATTTTGCAATTGAATTAAAATTAATATATAATTCATGTCCTTTACCTAAGCTTTTAACTGATGTATAGATGCTTTGTAGATGCAGGTTGTGCGGCCAACTTGCATCTGTTTCATCGATAGCCGACTGTGCCGAAACGATAATAATACTTATCTAAAAGATTACTTTGTCAACTACACAATACTGCAGAGCTATCGATAACATGGTTGTGAAAGCACAATTGACATCGATAGCATCGATATGTATTGCAGCTTTGAATGTATTTGAAAAGTGTGCACCCAAATTATTGTTGCGGTTATTTTTAATTGGCGATTTCAAGACAAGCATCAATTAACTAACTGCTAGTGCAATGGTTAGTTTCGGCAATGCGTTCGTATCGATTGAAGTAATTTGCAATTAGCAAGGTCTAATTAGATAGCCAAATGTTCAATTATTCAGCTCAATGCTGCCAAATGCCAATGGGAATGGACATGGTATGTTGTTTTCTGGTCAGGTTCGCGGTGGAAAATATAAAAACCACTTTTGCCGCATTCCCGACCAGCGAAATTGAGTTCAATGCTCAGTCGAGCCGAGAGCAATGAACCGAGTGGCAGGCATAGCTGTTGGCATCAGCATTGGCAGCTGCAACCAGAGTTTGGCAAAAACACTGAGCACCCACACAAACACACAACATACACCACACACAGACGCATAGACACACAGAAACACAGAGCCTGCAGAGATGGGCTTGGCTGAAGCTAGTGTCGCCGTCCAATGGGTCCGCATCCATGTTTATAGTCAAGTCAACGAATCTGCCAGCCAAATGCCTGTGTCTGCACACACCCAGAAAGACACACACACACGGCAAACAGAGCTCGGCTAAGCAAAGCGCTGCCACAACTGTTACCCCTGCCCATCAACTGCTGCACACTTGCCACACACTGTCCGTTGGGCTGTGTGGCAGCCACGCCCAGTTTTTTCAGTTGCGGTGCGCCTGAATAGTTTTCAAACGGGCAGCCGCTGCAGTTCGGCGTGGTAAATTTCAATTTAGCAAACGTGCAGCGCATTTTCTTTCCTTCTGCTTTTTGGCTTAAGCTTGTGAGCACAAGCTGGCAGCGCTGCGTTATTCAATGCGTTAGCAGCTCGGCTGCTTCACGTGCAACTGCCACTGCCACTGCCTCCAGTTTGCGTTCCATCTTACCAAATTCAATCTCTCTTCTTTTTTTTTGTTTTTGTTTTTTGTTTGCTGGAATGCAGGCGGACTAAGCAGACTTAGCTACGGGCCGCACTACTCGTTCCCTGAGCCCAGGCTGATGTCCTAACAGCGGCATCATCAAATTCGCAGCCAAGCGAATCTTTGTCAAGAAGAACAGTCTGACTTTTTTTTTATTTCCTTTCTTTTATGAGAGATATTTGTCGGGCGGCACGCGCGTGACACTAAGCTGCCAGCTGCAGCCTGCCTCCAACTAGCCCCAAAGCTGGCGTTGATGTTGGTATCGGTATCCTTGTCGGTGGCTGTGCAGCTGACTGAATGCATTCTTTACCAGCAGCTCTCAATGTACGTACACAGAAACGACACTAGACTGTCCAGTAAAGAGAAATAAGCTTATGACCCAGCACTGGCGCCTCAATATAATAATGAAAATGCAAATTTCAGCTCTACGGTGCTCCTTTTCAAATAGCCCTATTTGTTATTAAAATCTTTTGATTTACAGAATGGGGGCTGGTATCGCAGCTATTTTAATAGAGGGACTCGGTATCACTTTACAATTGAGAATTTGAAAGCGTTTAGTTAATTATGCGAATTCATAATAAATAATTAACATACCTGGAATGAGTTTTAGAAACTGAACAAGATTAACTACGCTGGGCTTTCTTGAAAATACAAGAGAAGGTAATTCTCTTTTCCTTAAACATAAGCCTTG